GCTCTTGGGTGATGTCTGATGTGATCAAATATCATCTGAATGTGTATCATATGGTCTCCTAAGCTTTTAGAGAATGTAAAGATGTCATCCAAATATACCTTTAGGTCTTCCAGGACAATATTCATGAGTTCCATAAATATGGATGGAGCATGTCAGAGACCAAAGGGCATCACACAGAACTCACATAATACCCTTTGACATGCAAAAGCCTCCTCCACCCTATCCTTCTCATCCAGCCCAACCTAACATCCAGAGATCCAAGTGCTTATAGTCACATAATTGTGGAAGGATGTCATCAATGAATGGCAAAGGGTATGAAATGGATCGGGTGATCTTATTCAACTACCGGAAGTCAACATAGAACCTTTAGCTACCATCTTTCTTATCCACTATAACAATTGGAGAAGCTCCAAAAAAGGGCTAGATCTCTGGAACAAGTTTGCGTCCAGCATATAATTTTTGCATTATGTACTACCTTCCGTTTCTTAAGTGGTGTTAGATACGACTTGATTTTTATAGGGAGGTGGTCACCAGTGTCAATGTTCATTGTTGCTGTATCTGTGTGGCCTAAGTAAACATCGTTAAGGGCAAACGATTCCACATTCCTACCTACGCCTGGATAGTCCTGAATCGTCTCTTAACGATAAAAGATTGGCATGTAATACATCCTCGAATTTCCATACTCCACAACCCCTGTTTTGTTTGTATTGTAAGTGTTATTTACTGGGACAACCCTGTCTTTGTTCAATCTGGCCAACGAATTCCCAACCATCAGTCCTTGGTCACACTTCAAATAGCCTTGCCAGGATGGTATGGCCCACGTTTGATCTTTGCTTGACAAAAGTTTTCACTTTGGAGCTTAATGTTCATGTCGCTTATCAACCAGGAGATTGACATAATGTGCATGTCTTCCTCCAATGGTGCATACTTTTTTCCCACTCAGTCTACATCGATCATAATACACTCAAGCATATTTCTGTAGCAACCAATCCCTTCCTAGAATAACATTCTTATTCATATTCCATACTATATAAACCAATGGATCATGGACATTCCTCTCATACCAGATGGGGTGTTTAAGCATCCTTGTACTTCAAACCCATATCCATTTACTGGTTGCTGTGAAACCTTCTTCCTACTAAGTTCATACATTCCTTTACGACTTTGAAGTACACGCATGTTTATGATTGAAACCTCTGAGCCAGAATCAATTAAACACCTGTACTGTTGTTTTCCTGTGAGTGAGTAAGTGAGTTATTATTTAACGTCACATCGGCAATATTTCAGCCATATCGTGACGAGACGTTTTCCTGTATTTGTGCCACATATACTAGGGTAACCTGACGAATAAATTGTGCATGTGGGTTTCTCTCTTTCATATCAGCTTCCTTTTGAGAAAGAGATTTGTGTTTAAGTTTCCTGTTTTTTCTGAACGACGAGACTGGCTTCTATATTACATGCATACGCCCAGTAACTTGTCCTTTATTTTGGATACTGAAACAACTTTTTCTGTTCATAATAAATGGAAAAAATGGTTACAGTTACATTTTTTACAAAACCTAATCTATTTCTGCTTTATTAAATGCAATCTAACCACCTCACCCATAGGACATTTTACTGATTGACTCCCCACTGATTTATGATGTCGGGTGACTGTCAACCCATTTCATTTAACTTGCTAACTTCTACTCTTGGAAGTAATTTTTGATCAACACACTGTCATTTCCAACTTGGGATAGACCAAACATGTCGGTGTTAATCTAGGACACGTTTGCTGTTGATGTGGAGGGGTTGAATACTGCAGCCATGGTGGGGACCAAAGGCAACGGGTTAATATTTGTGTTTTTTTTCTGCCAGTCTGGAGACTGACAGGGTCATGCCATTTCTGTGTTGTGGATGCGGACTATAAGCTGATTATTTTATGACCAGTAATTTTTCCTGTATGTGATAAATTGTTGAACGGACAAAGTGGTTTGTGTACAGCTTACTAAAACCACAGATACTAGAGATTAGCTTTATCGCTGTTTCGGCATGTTATGACCCAATAGTTTGGTTGTGTACCAAATGTGGTCACTTTCACTTTTGGTTTGATTCAATTAGGAAGCAAATATTTTGTTACAGACAGGTCCCATTGGCATTAATGAGTGACTTGGTATGCTCTTTGTCACCGATTCCGCCCGGATATTTTTAATAATCTTGCAATGTAACATATGTTATATTTGGGATTACACTTTCTTAGTAAAGTACAGATTCTAGTACTTTTGGGGTTGAGTCCCATCCGGGATTCGAACCCACACCCTCAGAGTCAGGCACCTAATCGCCAGCACACAAAGTCAGATGCCTAGACCGCTCAGCCACCACGGCTTCCACAAAATGGAAGTCGGACAACTGGTAGTCTAGACTGCGGACTTTGTGTACCCCTCTGATAAGTGTTAAATGGCACGGCTCCCACGGCCGAAAGCTATGAAATACACATTGCCATTTAAGAAAGTGATCAAATGTAACATATGTTATATTTGGGATTACACTTTCTTACATTTTTCCTAAAAACTTTCGATGAATTTACCATACAACTGTGAAGTAATAATAGAGGATGTTCACATCCTATGTAGTAGTTTGCAGGGTAGTTGTGATCCGGGACTGAAAAACATTGGTTTCCTGTTTATTCTCGCTTAGTGTCTTGTAACGTATTTCTGGATCACCCGGGGACCGCCTCCGTGGTGTAGTGGTAAGAGCGTCCGCCCGGAGAGCGGAAGGTCGCGGGTTCGATCCCCGACCGCGTCATACCAAAAGACGTTAAAATATGGTACTTGTTGGTCCCTGCCTGGCGCTCGGTATTAATGGGTACAACAAGTGACATTGAATGTTTATGCTTATATGTGTACCAGTCCCTTTGGTACCAGAAAATGTGGTACATACTGGAAATTTAACTCTTCCTTATTGCAAGGTAAAGAAGATGCTAATATGGTAAAAGTAACCATTTTGAAGACTAAGGCACAATATGCTGAAAGTAATTGCATATTACGAGACATCAAAAATATTCTTGACAATGAAATTTATTTTTAAGATTAACGGTCAGTTATTTTTCGATGTCTCATAGATCTAAATAAGAGGTAAATCTATATCTTATGCTTCTTACACACAAAAACGAGAAAGAGTTGAAAGGAGCTAGAATTCATTGACAAAATTGATGATGTTAAAAAATCTTCAAATATTGACTTCAAAAATGTTTAATAAAACAGTAGGGAACTAGAAGAAATAAGAAAAGTAAAGATGGCTGGTATTGCTGTACGATCAAGAGCTAGATGGATTATGGAGGGTGAAAAAGGTTTTTGTAATCTTTTTTCTTGTAATCTTGAATATAATAATTATGTCAGGAAAACGATGTCTCACTTAGAACTAAACGATGGCACTTTATTAGAATATCCCAAAAAATGTATTGCTGAGTCTGTCAGTTTTTTTTATATTTGTACCAGTCCAATACCATCTTTGATAGGAAATTCATTCAAATCAGTTGAAACTGAGGGATCGTCAAACATCTTGAAGAAGGTGAAAATGCAGATGTCCGAATCTGACATGTCTAGAAGCAAACATTGCGATTAAAATGATAGAATCAGTCTTTTCAACAGAAATGGAATGTACTACAAAACATGATTGAACTATTTTGGCCCATATATTAGCGTTCACCTCTGTTGCTATGTGTATGTCTTGATCGGTTGTCTTAACTGATCACCTGTTACTACCATTGTCAATGTTCACCTTGATATAAGTGCCGATTCATCAGCTAGAGGTGTTTCTGTTCAGATTCATACTGTATCGTACTTTGAATGTACTTTAATTATGTAACCCACTGAGTGTAATAAAGAAATGAAAAAACAAAAACCAAAAAGCAATAGGGTCACGGAGTGCTATGTATTCATACGTACTGTGAGACGAACTTAGGAACAATGCCGACCTGTCATTTGAACCCGTGAATCTGAATAACATGTTCTCAAAACTGTTACTGTTTTTTAAGGTAAATTAAAACATATTTCCATTGCCATGTTCTCAAAGCTGTTACTGGTTTTAAAGGTAAATTAAACCATATTTGCATTGCCATGTTCTCAAACTGTTACTGTATTTACAGGTAAATTAAAACATATTTGCATTGCCATGTTCTCAAAACTGTTATTGTTTTTAAAGGTAAATTAAACCATATTTCCATTGCCATGTTCTCAAAATTGTTACTGTTTTTAAAGGTAAATTAAAACATATTTCCATTGCCATGTTCTCAAAACTGTTATTGTTTTTTAAAGGTAAATTAAACCATATTTTCATTGCCATGTTCTCAAAATTGTTACTGTTTTTAAAGGTAAATTAAACCATATTTCCATTGCCATGTTCTCAAAGCTGTTACTGTTTTTTAAAGGTAAATTAAACCATATTTCCATTGCCATGTTCTCAAAGCTGTTACTGGTTTTAAAGGTAAATTAAACCATATTTGCATTGCCATGTTCTCAAAACTGTTACTGTATTTACAGGTAAATTAAAACATATTTCCATTGCCATGTTCTCAAAGCTGTTACTGGTTTTAAAGGTAAATTAACCAAATTTGCATTGCCATGTTCTCAAAACTGTTATTGTTTTTAAAGGTAAATTAAACCATATTTTCATTGCCATGTTCTCAAAGCTGTTACTGGTTTTAAAGGTAAATTAACCATATTTGCATTGCCATGTTCTCAAAACTGTTATTGTTTTTTAAAGGTAAATTAAACCATATTTCCATTGCCATGTTCTCAAAACTGTTACTGTTTTTAAAGGTAAAATAAACCATATTTTCACTGCTATATTCACAAAATTGTTACTTTTTTTTAAGGTAAATTAAAACATATTGTCATTACCATTTTCTCAAAACTGTTACTGTTTATTAAAGGTAAATAAAACATATTTCCATTGCCATGTTCTCAAAACTGTTACTGTTTATTAAAGGTAAATTAAACATATTTCTATTTGATTTGCAGCTGTTGCAGTCAGACGGAGGTAGCTTCCATCCGTAAACCTGCTCTACTTCCGTGTTCAGACGGAAATGTACTTCGGATACCCGTCAAGATGGCCTTGACCTGTCACTGCCGACCTTGTTCAATGTCAGTTCAACAGATAGACATTTTCGACCTTCGAAGGTTGTTGGCGTCAAGCTGGCCAAGCTCTTCTATATTCGGAGGCTGATGTTTGGAACAAATATCCGTTCATGGATCACACATGAAATGATTGATTTTGTGAACCATGTGTTTATTCACTAACACTATGTTATAATTATCAAACAGTGTACATTGTGTGTAGTAGCTGATATTATGGAAACGACGAAAAAGGTCCCTTTTTGACCGAAAGAAGACACACGGAACATTTTGAGATATTGGCAGGAAATCATTAGACGTGAATTGTACTCTTCTCACACGTTTTGAGCCAATCACAAAAGTATCGCCAAATTTGGCAAAGAATGACTGGTTTTCGATCTTCAAGTTCGTGACCAAGATGTGTTTATAACTAGTTCCTGGAAGCCTCTGACAACATATTGGCTCAACGTAAAATAGGTATTGGTGTATCTATAAAGGCAAATATGTAAAGGACGAACGTCAAATTATCACATATATGAATATATCAAAACGTAGTTTTGTCATTTCTTACATACTGGCCCTGATTTAACTGGATTACTGTTTAAAGCGGCGTTTGAAGTTTCAAAGCTGATCCTCACCATCTTGTCCACGCTGAACCGCTAAAGAGTATGTTTGAATTAGATATTGTGAGTTGATGTGTACGGCCTAAACGTCATAGACATATAACTATGTTTTCATATATAATCATGTGTTTCTTTGTGTGATAAAAGGTGGAAACATTTCTGAAAAAAATGGAAATTGTCCAAAATAGTCGTAGTATACCGTGGAATACTTGTTTACTAAAGCGTGTTATAAATGCTGAATTATAAGAAATGAATAGGTCGACTGTCAAGTTGTTCTGGTAGAAAAAAGCAATGGTTTGTCGATACGTCAGTGCGTCAAGGGATTGTAAACACTTAGTTATTCTAGCAATATACAGACACCATGTTATAATTCCAGCTCAATATCGTCATATCCTTGTTACAGTTGTGAACTTTACAGAGAATATTAGCGTGTTACATCACCGAATGGTGAAGAACTTTCTTACTTAAAAATTCTTAGTTACGAAAAACATACAAATTGTCCTGAATATTCAACATAATATCCTAAACTTCTAGAAGTGTAACTTGACAACTCAACATTATCTGATGTTAACTTAACAGAAAATCCTGAAACTAATTATATGCAGGATTTTGTCGTTTTAATTTCAGAGTGTGTCACACGAATTCATCGTTTTCAGTGGCACTAACAGGTATCCGTAGACTCGTACTGCTTTAATTGTAAACTGTGAGAAATGACAAGGACCCCGCCATGTCTCACATAGTCACGTGACATCTGTGTCCATGGAAACAGCAAAATATGTATTAACTATGGAAAATTATATTTTGTAATGTGAATATGTGACAACAATTTCTGTTATTCACACCATCAGCGAAGTGAAATATATATATTTGTACCTGGTTACGACTGAAATCCATTGATAATTTATCAAACTGTGATGCCCCACAAAATGGCGTGATATATGTTACCATGGAAACAGTATATTACTGAGTTATGGGGAAACACCGTTTGTTTCGGAGTAAATAGCATCAAAGTTAATTGAAATTAATAATATGTAGTTCTCCAATCAGATGATGGTCTAGCTAGCGAGACCTTGATATAACTGGAATCTTGTTAAAAGTGGTCTTAAACCACTTTCTAAAGAAAGTTTAGAATTTCAGATCCGGCATAGAGTTCCTGATAATATTTAGATGTTTATACTCGGAGTTGATGTTTACAAGTACATATATCGTTTGGAGACTCAACACAATTATGAACTTACATTAGACTAGAGACTAGATACCGTTAATCGAGGGCAACGTGGAGCCCCAGTCTGGTGCACGTGGTGTACAGATTTGATGAAATTGACAACTTTTCTTAGAATTGGTAGAGAAAGTTATCTGATATAATGATAGAAAGAAACTTTGTTCATTGAGGTACAAGCACAATTAAGGGTTTCAAATACACACTAAAGGTACACCTTAGGTAACGGAAGGTCTCATGAAGGTTGGTTTCAACATGTGTCATTTTCTGGGTCTTCAGGAATCATGCTCTCAGTGTTTCAACACAAGCAAGCATTGACCCAAGCTGATCGTGCAGGAGCTACAGATTATGGTAAAAACATTTTGTGTGTCGGAATTGCTTCTATTATAGCTCCTTGTGTAGACTAAATGTGAAAGAAGTCAAACACGCGCGACCAGTTAAACATGTCTTATAGTTTTCATGCCATTATCAAAAGTTCTCCAAAGCATAAATATTCGTCGTTTCCATTGGGTCGAGGAGGGACTCGTAGTTTGCCTGGTCCCACAATATATAGTTTGTGATGTATACAATGTTAGCAGGGTAATATAATCCGAATTACATGGAGACAATGTGTCAGTTGCACTCATGGTGTACATTACAATGTATCTACCAGAGCATGGGCTCCTGACTGTGGGCGGATTCACTCGCCTGAATGCTGAAGAATACTGTAATATTACAAACAATCAATTCTTGTGCAGTAATGAACGTGATTCTCAGCGAACTTGGTTACACGAAGAAAAGTAATTTGATGAATCTGTATTTCGACTTCTGTTTTTGGTTTTAATATGATGATCAAATATAGACAAAATCAGATCTTATGTGCAAATAGTTCTCACTGGATTAACTTTCCTTGCCAACATATAAAGGTGAAGGCCACGCGTTGACTGGAGGTCACGTCCCAAGTCAGTGTACATTTATTAATAAATATGTATAAACTGTTTGCTGATGACGATGTGTTTCTGTTTGATATTCTTCCAGATTCAGTCATTTATTCAGGGCATAAAATCAAACAGTATATACATATGATAAGAAACAGTGATAAGTATTTTCTCTGAAAACAACAGTTTAAATGACCATGGACGGTTTTGAAGTGGTGGATCCACGCAGAGTGAGTGAGTGAGTGAGTGAGTTTGGTTTTACGCCGCTTTTAGCAATATTCAAGCAATATCACGGCGGGGGACACCAGAAATGGGCTTCACACATTGTACCCATGTGAGGAATCGAACCCGGGTCTTCGGCGTGACGAGCGAGCGCCTTAACCACTAAGCTGCCCCACCGCCCGGATCCACGCAGAGCCTAGAGCTTACGTTCATCCATGACCACGTGGCTACAACTCACACAGCCACGTGACATGATTAAAACAGCACCACAGAAAGCAATAGGTTAACATTGACACGGAAAGCGAGAGGCTAAAATTCACACAGAAAGCGAGATGCAAAGGTTGACACAGAAAGCGAGAGGCAAAAAATTCACACAGAAAGCGAGAGAATAAAATTAACCCAGAAAACCAGAGCCTAAAATTCAGAAAGCGAGAGACTAACACAAAGCGATGCTAAAATTCGCAAAGAAAGAGAGGGGAAAATTTCACCCAGAAAACGAGAATCTAAACTACACCCAGAAAGCGAGAGGCGAAAATTCACCCAGAGAGCGAGAGGCAAAAATTCACACACAAAACGAGAGGCGAAACTTCACACATTGCCACATGGTACAAGTTGAAAGAGTAGCAAGCATTCACTCGGAACGATGTGGCAAACATGTACTCAGAACGATGTGGACAAACACAGACCTGGCTGAGTGCCTGTCACTCTACCCGGACACGGACTGGTTTTCATGCTTTCAGCCACCGGTTTTTCGCACAACGAAATGTGGAACTTTGTAAGAAACAATATTACGAATCGAGAAGCGTTTTGTCTGCTGTTTGGATAGAGAAAATTCTTGAGAGGGACGCATTTCCAGCAAACTGCCAGTCTAAGCCTGCTTTATTCATGTGCCGCAAATACAGGACGGCTAGGTCAAATTGTGTTTATTCTATTGATTACCTGTAATTACACAGAGACAGTGTCCCAGTTTCACAGTGAGCGTTAATTACGTCTAACTCCCACACTGGGAACAAGTCAACACAGCACACGTTTCCTTTAATATGTATCTTTGCTACATTAAGTCTGGTGGTAGAGCAACAATTGACTAAACTCATGAATATGCAAATGAGGTCACCGAGCAGGACATACAACGTCAAGGTCAATACACCAGCGAGACGCCACTGTTGGTTACAAAATGTTAGCGAGCTTTCCTGACTATGATCATATTTATATCGAGTGAGTGAGCGAGTGAGTTGAATTTAACGCCGCTTTGGATAGTATTCTTGCTATATTTCGGGGTGTCAGCTCAACATGGCTCGAAGGCACGAAGTGACGTTTACCATTTTCGTGAAACCTACAATCACAGACACGTTTCTTACAAACCTCGTAACATAATCAGATCAAAGCGGGATTTGAACCCACGATTACAGGTGTGGCACATTGTGGCGCCTTCGACGGCAATGCGAGTGAGTGAATTTAGTTTTACGCCGCTTTTAGCAATATTCCAGCAATGTCACGGCAGGGAACACCAGAAAATGGGCTTCACACATTGTACCCATGTGGGGAATCGAACCCGGGTCGTCATCGTGACGAGCGAACGCTTTAACCACAAGGCTACGCCACCGTGCCGACGACAATGCGAACCATTTCTGCATTGTAATAACTTTGAGCGAGTGAATTTAGTTTGACGCTGCTTTTAGCAATATTCCAGCATTTTCACGGCGGGGGACACCATAAATGTGCTTCACACATTACATGTACATCCATGTTTGGAATCGAACCCGGGTCTGCGGTGTGCCGAGCGAACGCTTAAACCACCAGGCTACCCAACTGCCTTTGAAGAAGAATCACATAGTAAAACGTTACATATGATCAATAGAGAGAGTGTATACATATGAAGATATTCTGTTCCTTACATATGATGTTAAAAATACTTTTTAGATAGGACGTAACAATACGTCTTACATGTGATGTTAAGAATGCGTCTTATTTGTAATGTTAACAAAATGTCTAACTTACGATGAAGGGATGTCTGGATTGTCTGCTCCGGTCCTGAATATATACAGACAACGACGGCATATAGCTGCAATACTATGGAAGCCAATTTAAATAATGAGACAGTGTACGTCTCCAAAAATGGGTACCAGATGGGATAAGTCATGTAACTATTAACCTTCTAGCGTCTCACAGGCAGCTTGGTTTTTCTGGGCCATTCCGTGGTAATAATAATCAGATTGTGTGTTAGCGCTTTGAGCATGTGCCTTGTACATGGAAAAGACGCATTATAAATTTGTAATTATTATTATTATCAATTTAAAAGATACATTTATCTACGTAGATTAAACTATACTTTCATCTACGTAGATAATACTACACATCTGTTTAGATGAAAGTATCGTACACGGTTATGAAAGTCTCTTCTATGAAGATGCAAGGAGCATGTACAAGATGAAAGTATCTTGGTTGGGTGAATTCAAAAGGTAGGTCGGATACTCTTAATGGAAAAGTCAGAAATAGTTCAGATTCAAAGTCATTGCATAATGGGTTTCATGTGACATATGTCCAGTATTGGTCGATATCAACAATCGATCACGCGTTCAGGCAGTTCATATCAACCAGACTCTGGGTGGTAGATTGTACGAGTGCTTCATATTCATGAGACCGAGGGTGTTCTTGGTAGAGATCCTGCCCGGAGACAGCCTCCGTTGTTTACTCAAAACCAAATGTTTTCCCACCATATGTGACACGCTCTCATGACAACACTGTAGTAGGTAGAGCGTCTTTCTCAAAAACGGTTTCTTTGGTGTTGTGGGTAGAGCGTATGTATGGAGACCACCTACGAGGTGTAGTGGGTAGATCGTGTATATGGAGCCTGCCTCCGTGGTGTAGTGGGTAGATCGTGTATATGGAGCCTGCCCCCGTGGTGTAGTGGGTAGATCGTGTATATGGAGCCTGCCTCCGTGGTGTAGTGGGTAGATCGTGTGTCCGGAGATCACCTCCGTGGTGTAATGGGTAGATCGTGTGTCCGGAGACCACTTCTGTGGTGTAGTGGGTAGATCGTGTGTCCGGAAACCACCTCTGTGGTGCAGTGGGTAGATCGTGTGTCCGGAAACCACCTTTCTGGTGTAGTGGGTAGATCGTGTGTCCGGAAACCACCTCTGTGGTGTAGTGGGTAGATCGTGTGTCCGGAAACCACCTCTGTGGTGTAGTGGGTAGAGCGTGTGCCCGGAGATTACTTCTGTGGTGTAGTGGGTAGATCGTGTGTCCGGAAACCACCACCGTGGTGTAGTGGGTAGATCGTGTATATGGAGACTGCCGGTCTGTGTGTCCGGAGATCACCTCTGTGGTGTAATAGGTGTGTGTGTGGTACCAACATACCAATAATCCTGACGAATCTTTGATTCAAACCCATGCCTTAGGTTCCCATTTCGAACATAAGACCCACCCAGTGGGTTCTTCGTCGACACATAAACACACGGTGTAAGCCAGGCAGTCACGCTAGACAGCTAAATGTAATCATTCATTCAACATTCAGTAAGAGGAATAATAGGTCAACAGCGCCTATTGTTATCCCAGATCAAGAATATCAGTCAGCACCTTCGTGGTCCAAGATCCCGTCAAATCATTCGTCCATGATCATGTCCCTGGTAGTATTAGTTTGAGTAGTATGACGCTCATATGACGACGTGCATGCGTGTGTATGTGTTTGTGCGGCTGCTTGTACTAGCCCAGACTGGTTTTATAGTGCTAGCCAACTGGGATACCATGCCGCAGTGAAGCATGAATACCCCACTCAGACACATTATACTGACTCCGAGCCGACCAGTCCTTGTTGTACCCATTAATGCCGAGCGCCAGGAAGGGACCAACAAGTACCATATTTTAACGTCTTTTGGTATGACGCCATCGGGGATCTAACCCGCGACCTTCCGCTCTCCGGGCGGACGCTCTAACCACTACACCAAGGAGGCGGTCAGTAGTAGTAGTAGTAGTAGTAGTAGTAGTAGTAGTAGTAGTAGTAGTAGTAGTAGTAGTAGTAGTAGTAGTAGTAGTAGTAGTAGTAGTAGTAGTAGTAGTAAGAGGTCTCTGAATGGCATTTAGATGAGATACATATAAGGAAGTGAGTAGTAGTAGTAGTAGTAGTAGTAGTAGTGGTGTTGTTGTTGTTGTTGTTGTTGTAGTTGTAGCCTCTCAATAAGAGAGCATTTAAAACATACATACTTTCAGTTTCACACATATATGAACAAGGCAAATATTACTTTGATATATATATATATGTTTACTATGAACTAACAATTGTGAAATAACTCAGATCTATGACAATCATCAGACTAGATGCAGCAGTGTAAATGCAAATAGTTTTACAAGTAAAGCGACAGATCATTGTGATGCCTTTTTGGCGAGAATCACGCAACCAAAACGAAGCGAACATAAAATATATCTAGTTAGTAAACGATCAGATCTGTGGATTGTTCTTATTACCAAATCCTAGCACAAGGAAAGGCAGGGTAGACATGCTGGAACCATCACAGAACAATGTGACCGAAGGTAACTGAATCCAGATCTATAGCTATAGTATGTACATGTATGTAGTGTTACCATTACACTACCATCAAACGGCGTGCATAGTGTCATTTTCACGTCAACACATTCAGGTTATGACATCATCACATTACCCAAAGATTAAGTGTACAGTGGCATCATTACACCATACCGTCATTATTGCATTACCTCCAAATTCAGTATATATTGTCATTATTGCATTACCTCCAAAATCAGTATATAATGTCATTATTGCATGACCTCCAAATTCAGTATATAATGTCATTAATGCATTACCTCCAAATTCAGTATATAATGTCATTATTGTATTACCTCCAAATTCAGTATATAATGTCATTAATGTATTACCTCCAAATTCAGTATATAATGTCATTATTGCATTACCTCCAAATTCAGTATATAATGTCATTAGTGTATTACCTCCAAATTCAGTATATAATGTCATTATTGTATTACCTCCAAATTCAGTATATAATGTTATTATTGCATTACCTCCAAAATCAGTATATAATGTCAAAAATCATTAATGTATTATCAGTATATATGTCATTATTGCATGACCTCCAAATTCAGTATATAATGTCATTAATGTATTACCTCCAAATTCAGTATATAATATCATTAGTGTATTACCTCCAAATTCAGTATATAATGTCATTAGTGTATTACCTCCAAATTCAGTATATAATGTCATTAGTGTATTACCTCCAAATTCAGTATATAATGTCATTAGTGTATTACCTCCAAATTCAGTATATAATATCATTAGTGTATTACCTCCAAATTCAGTATATAATGTCATTATTGCATGACCTCCAAATTCAGTATATAATGTCATTAATGTATTACCCCAAATTCAGTATATAATGTCATTATTGCATTACCTCCAAATTCAGTATATAATATCATTAGTGTATTACCTCCAAATTCAGTATATAATGTCATTAGTGTATTACCTCCAAATTCAGTATAAAATGTCATTAGTGTATTACCCCCAAATTCAGTATATAATGTCATCAGTGCCTCACCTCCAAATTCAATTGATGACATTATTGCATGACCTCCAAATTCAGTATATGATGTCGTTATTGCATTACCTCCAAATCCACAGGTAATGTCATTATTACACCACCTCCAAGTTCAGTATTTAATGGCATTGTGACATTACCTCCAGATTCAGTTTATAATGTCTCATTATTGCATTATATCCAAATTCAGTTCATGTCATCATTGCACTGTCTTCAAATTCAGTTTATAGTGACATTATCGCATTACCTCCAAATTCAGTATATAATTTCATTATTGCATTACCTCCAAATTCAGTGTAAACGACATCATAAGATTCTGACAATATGTAGTGTAAAACATGTAATTATTACACTAAAGCTAAACTTAGTATATAATATCATGGTTTTATCATCCAAAACTGTGTTCCACGGGAGATATCGCTTGTGTGAGATCAAACGATATCTCCTAGGAGATATCGTTTTGACAGTAGATTTTTTGTACAATGCCCTGACAATGCTATGAAGTCATCAACTTGATGACGTCACAATGCTATGACATCGCTGCACTGCAAGTCTAATGACAGTACCATGTTCAGAGACGTACATTTTTCATTGAAAACTAATGAAGAGTGATTTTGGATGATAAATAGAATCTCACCCTCGTGTCTTCTGATATCAAATATATCAACACTCGTTGATAAAAGTAAAAATATCCTCGGCAAGCCTCGGATATTTGTACTTTATCAACTCGTGTTGATAATATTGATATCAGAAGACACTTGGGTGAGATTCTCTATATATCACCACAAAATCTGGTATTAATGACGACATGTATAGTCCTATATAATCCAGCATACAAAGTAAACTGCCGGGCAAAAGGAAGTGTATACATCCATGTTTGACTGTTGCCAAAACGAAAAATAAATAAGTCATTCGACCGTGATGAATCTGATACATGTATCATAGGCGATATGACATGCATAATGACTATCTCAAAATAGATGACGTGGACATGACGTCACGGGGACGGGGGTCAGCATTTCACAGTACACAGTAACAGGTAGAGTGTGAATTTGGTATACAAGGGGGATACTAAACGCCGTTCCGTGTAATACCAATTTTATCAAACGAGTCAATGATTTGGTATCAAACGAGCGAAAGCATACAATGTGATGACTCTCACATCAATTTTCCGCTAGTCAAGCAAGGTCTTATCCATTGTGACAGAGGCATTATCATTGTGACGTCATAACTGTAACTATTATGACGTCATATGTCTGGCGGTATTACACTAGTGTAATATTGACGTAAAAATATTACACTGCATTATAGCTAAAATACATGGAATTATCATGAAACGGCCCTCCCATTATCAGCGGGCCGCTGCAAATGATATTGGACCGCTCAACCTTAGCGACGGGCCACTATCAGTTCTGTTGTCAAGTGACGTCATAGTGGGCGCGTGGGGTTACGGTTCATTCGACATTGGCTTTGGACTGGCAGATATTCTGGGTCAAACAATCTAAAGGAACCCGAATTCCCGCTTTAAATAGCGGTAATATTGGCTTTCTTGCTGGTGCTAATCTCAACAATTGCACTATTAACGTTGTTGTTGGACCAAAACCGAACACTGACATAGTTTGACATGTTGCAGGCTATGGTCTTGTCAAAGGCCAAGTTCGAATATCGTCACTTTCTGTTGTGACGTCACTTGAATTGTTCGATGACGTAATTGCATTCGGGCAGTCAACCCCGTCAGAAGTTGGTTTTGAGTAAACTTACAGTCAAATTCCTTCAAATTGTTTCCTTTTTCTTTTCGACACAAATTCCATGAATTTTAGCAATAATAACGGTAATGCTCATTTTGAGGGCATGCCCTCAAAATAGCATTACCCTTATAGTATCTTCCACGGGCGAGTAATAACGTATATGCTTCCTTTTGCCAGGCAGGGAATATATACTACAACAATCATGGATATAGAATCTGTACAGGGTTACGAAATCAAACGCATACTGTCTAATTCCTTATAATCAGGATAAATCTGAGTATATTGCCGCTGTTTATCTACACTAATGGTAAGTAAATACATGAAATCTAGTGTATTGTGACCAAGTGACTGGAGAGAAATACGAATATTGGTCCGCAGCAACCACTGTTTGGCATAAGATCAGTGGTCAGGTTTGTTGACTTTGTTGACTGAAAGTCAATTGTTTCCAGCTGAGTTGATCGATGTTCATTATGTCAATCACCTGATTGTCTGTAGTGGTTGTCCATGACATAATCAGGTCTAACAACAGTTGTATCAGTTGCTTAAAAAAGTCAATATCGTCAAAGTTGTGCCCCTTGTCCGAGCAAGGCTCTGCTATTCGTAGGTTGGAATCGATGATTCGATTCAGTTATGATCAATAGTCTGTTAGTACCATGATTTGTGTACTCGTGGTTTTAGCCTAGATGTCAAATACTTTTTCCTTTTCTCTCACGTTAAGCTCAGGCTGAGAAATACAGTATTCTGTTGGCCTCGAACTTCAGCTCTTTACAAATTCCTGTATGCGATCTTCAGTGACGAATGGACTGGACCCAATTGCCAGTTTAGGCATATCCATGGGTTCGAATCCCGATCCCTAATTATGTCTGAAGATTTTTCCGAACTATATCCGTGCCATTGGGTTTTTATCCCATGGGCACGCAGTGAATGTCTACGTGCATTACGTCGAGATTCGTTTCCGCCAACTTTCTCTTGTAACATATAACGCTCCCACTCAGTGATATAAACGAGATATACTGTTTCACACAGCAATAAACTAAACTTCATGACGATGTGAACTTCAATGGAGAATGACAGCTTTTCGCAAGGTGGACCTGAGACAGGGCACCTGTTTGTAGCCATTGAAGTCTTTCCGGGAAACCCTGTTGCACACCTTTATAGCAATCTCCATCATGGTCCAACCAGAGCTGCCTTTGATCGTTGCGATGAGCTCCTGCATGAAGTGAGATCCTTCCACGATGTTGCGGAGGGCCACGTACCCGGGACACGTTGACATCATCAGCAGAAAGTCTGCCTCGTCGGGGATGATTTCCACACGTCGAGGCCTTGGGACGACATCAGGGACGTCTGTCTCCAACCCCTTCATAAACTTGTCACCCTGGCATGCCTGTGGAAGAGAAGCCACGTCATAGAGAGACCAAGTCATAAAGACTGACACTTCATGTAGACAGACACGTCATAGAGACGAACACGTCATGTAGACAGACACGTCATAGAGACGGACACTTCATGTAGACAGACACATCATAGACACAGACACTTCATTTAGACAGACACATCATAGACACAGACACTTCATTTAGACAGACACGCCACAGAGATAGACACTTCATGTAGACAGACACATCATAGACACAGACACTTCATTTAGACAGACACGCCACAGAGATAGACACATCATGTAGACAGACACATTATAGAGACTGACACTTCATGTAGACAGACACATCATAGACACAGACACGCCACAGAGATAGACACATCATGTAGACAGACACGCCACAGAGATAGACACATCATGTAGACAGACACATCATAGACACAGACACTTCATTTAGACAGACACATCATAGACACAGACACTTCATTTAGACAGACACGCCACAGAGATAGACACTTCATGTAGACAGACACATTATAGAGACTGACACTTCATGTAGACAGACACGTCATAGACACAGACACGCCACAGAGATAGACACATCATGTAGACAGACACGCCACAGAGATAGACACATCATGTAGACAGACACATCATAGACACAGACACTTCATTTAGACAGACACATCATAGACACAGACACTTCATTTAGACAGACACGCCACAGAGATAGACACTTCATTTAGACAGACACGTCATAGAGACTGACACTTCATGTAGACACACACATCATAGACACAGACACTTTATTTAGACAGACACGCCACAGAGATAGACACATCATGTAGACAGACACATTATAGAGACTGACACTTCATGTAGACAGACACATCATAGACACAGACACTTTATTTAGACAGACACGCCACAGAGATAGACACATCATGTAGACAGACACGCCACAGAGATAGACATTTCATTTAGACAGACACGTCATAGAGACTGACACTTCATGTAGCCATACACATCATAGACACAGACACTTCATTTAGACAGACACATCATAGGCACATACACTTCATTTAGATAGACACATCTATTAATAACTGACGAATATTACAAACTACATTAGCTTACCTATTGTTGCAATACGTGGCACTGTCAATATCATTTATCGATATTCAGACAATAGAGGCATATCAACATTATATTTTATAATCTGGAACACCAGATGTTGCCATCCTTAATATTTATGTCCTAAACAACGATTGTTATAGAAATATAAACGTCAGAGCTAGTGTCTCTATTATCCAACGAAACAGATTGCATTGGGCGTCAATTACATGAATGGATAAATGGAAATCAGATCACGTTGACAAAGAGTATTGATATCTGGGTAGGTTTCTGCACACAGAATGGACATATGGGATTTGTTTCTTCTATATAGTGTGTCTGTGTATGCTGGAAGGGAATGAGTACAACGTATACCCAACATATGTACAAGTATACACATGCGCTAGGAAACATACCATAATTCATAAGATTATGGCCATGTACGAAATTAGATGTAAATACAGTTGTCTCTCAGTATTAAACAAACAGCAAAGGGACATATATCATTTGACAAGTATCATTACAATTTCTGTAAGGTAAGCGTCATAACCGTTTTCTCCTCATGACTATTTGGATGCAGTCGTTCGATTTCGGGGGCAGTTGGTTTAAAGTCCATGGTCAGGTTCTTCTTGGCCATTTGATAGATATTTCATAGGCGGACTTAACATATCAGTGGCAATGGGGTTTAACTTCTTCCCAAAAGGTGACCTGATGGCGATACACGGAGTTCAAGGATATATCATGTGACAATTTTCCTCTTAGAAATAGATTTTGTAAATACAGGAAGATATTACAGTTTTATGATACGGGTAAACAGCGCATATATAAGTATGTCATTTACCGTCTCAATCAATTGGCCATAAGGAATAAGCACGCTGATTTGTACTACCGTCATCCTGTAGATTATAGATGACGTAGAGACACAGACGTTTACGGGGGTCAAATGTACATTTCAGTAGGATATTGTACAATTACAGTCAACCAACAGTGTTGAAGTAGAGTGTTGATTGTTGATATACATAGAGGATACTAAACGCCGGTTCCGTGTAATACCATTAGAATCTATTATCAAACGAGTTAATGATTTGGTATCAAACGAGTAATAACATACAATGTGATGATCTCTCACACTCAATTTTGACCGCGAGTCAACTACAAAAGGTCTATCATCCATTGTCGATATTATTATCCATATCTTCCTGATATTAGTGATTAGCGCCAAAATGCTAAGGTCGTAGAATGGTGTGAGAATTATTAAGTTCATGATGAAGAACAATGATGCTTTAGAGCAAACTGTAACACCATATATGCTACTTTTATGTTGCATGGGCCTACAAATATGGTACAAACTGGTACAAACATAATATGTGTTAGATCGATTTCCAAGCTTGTGATTGGCTACTCCATGGTAATGACCTAGGGTGAGATTATGAGACCAGTTTCGTGATTAAAATAGATCGATAAGTTACTCGTACTTCCGTCAAAACGCAAACCTGCTACTCAGCCAAACACCTTTACACAAATCTCTTATTTTCGTGATTGTAATTGTAAATAGCGTTAGTGGCAGTTTTATTGGCTCTGCGAAAAGGAGAAAGCTGTTTGGAAGAAGAGTAGTTCCCCATCGATAGCGAACGTAAGTTCAACAATGTCACATTCAAGCACACGGGTTACACTTAACTACAGTCACTCAATATCTTTTGGGGGAGCATTGAACGTAACTAAATACTACTTTCCAATTGTGTTTACAGGTGTTCACGTTATCCTGCTCTCTGGGTGATAAATGCGCGTGGATAAACACCTTCAAGGTCAAAGGTCAGGGTAATTTTCATCAAATTTGTAGCGTATTGAATATTATTTATTGAATTGAAGTAAAATGAGTTCAGAGCTCAAGGTCAAACGAACAATGTCATACGAAACGATGGGGCCGTCGCCATGGCAACTAGGAGTTTCAATGACATTGTAAATGTATCAAAGATACATTCTGCTGTATACATACGTTTTAGGCATTACTTGTGTAACATGCAACTCAATTGTTTACAAACAAGGACATGAAAATTGTTTAAAGGTCAAGGTCAAGGTCACATGAACATGCTTGATAATTTCCTAACAAGTCGAACGTTTAGCCCAGCATTTCAATACAACTTATAACGTACTTACAGATTGTACTTTTATAATCTCGTGTTCGTGCTTGAACTATGGTAGTTCAGGGCAAAACTGTACTATATTAGACTTTACATGAGGGAAGAGCGAACTGTATTTCTAAAATATTTACAATTACATAATGCCAAATAAAATGGTGGCCGAGAGGGGACAACGCTTTCTCGCCTTCAATTACGACCCCGAGAGCAACAAAGCGATGTCCCAGCTCGGCCAAAATAAAATAACCCGCAAATATCCAGGACACACAGGCAACTTCTGATTGTGAGACAGGTGGAATATTCTGACAGCTACAACACAAACAAACAAACAAACATTACCTGTATGAAGAAGAGCTTGGGTTTGCCAGCCAGGGAGGGACAGTTGCGTGCCTGGAAGGGGTAGGTGAGGGAGGAGATGGCGATGTCGCGGCAGTTGACCCCGTACACTGAACCGTGGTTGTTCTCGGAGCCATGGGACAAAATACAACACACAAAACAGCTATATTGCGAATGATCCTCAGTGTAGGCGCTCACATGCGACTGCCGCAGCATCTCCGTGTCGGTGAGGTTGTCCTTCTGCTGCACATGGAATCCTATCTCTAGGAACAGATCGCGCAGCCGTTTGGCATCGGTGTCCGTGCCGTGTCGAGTGGCTAGTCTTTGGTCCGGAGGGAGGTCGGTCCGGTCAAAATCTCTGTTGTTGATTATCAGACAAAGGCCTTTGATTTTGGTGTTCATTTTATATGTTGACATATCCCGACATAACTTGGTCTTTGTTGGCGGTGAGTCGCAATCCACGTCAGGTCTGCTGACGTCATGGCCCGTTCCTCCTTCTGGAAAAGCATCAAAGACGGCGATGCTGAACAAACGCTCTACATTAAACCCCGTCTCCGCAGACACAACGACGTGTTTGATACGTCCGTGTTTCGAATCAACCTCCTCGACGTCAAACACACCCCTTTCGGCATCGGCAACGTCTACGTCTGCTCTGTTACCAACCAGGAACACCTTCGCCCTTGGTGCCTTGAATTTGATTGTTCTGGAAAATTTGTTCTTGATGGCTTCCCGAGAACATTCATCTGTAGCGTCGTAGAGCTTGAGGACGATGTCAGCGTTACGAAGAAGACGACTAAACAAAAGACGTATTTTGGGCCCGCGAACCTCGAAAATATTCATCTCCGCCGTTGTCCACGGAGCGGTCACTCTTTTCGCCCAAGTTGATGAATCCCCCATGGCCATTGTCTTCAGCTTCTTGTCGGCAGTAAACCTCCTGATGAGGGTCGACTTGCCTACAGAAGCACCCATCACTACAATCTTAATCCCCTTCCTTTGTCCATCCTCTATCTTAGAGTAACCGGCCCGACTAGGTTTCCCGCCCATTCTGAAGAAGGAGTTATGACAGAGCAATGGCGATTTATCGTCAGTACGGTTGCATTCTGTCGCTGGCAGAAGATTGTGTGTGCGTGTGCATGCCGACTTTCAACTTCACATCCTCTCCTCCTGAAATAAACGACAGCTTATCGTATGTGGGATTACTTCCGGGTCAACATAGCACATCGACGTATCTCCCACACACATCAACATATCTCCTACACACATCAACATGTCTCCCACACACATCAACACATCTCCCACACACATCAACATATCACCCACACACATCAACATATCAACATATCTCCTACACACATCAACATATCTCCTACACACATCAACATATCTCCTACACACATCAACATATCTCCTACACACATCAACATATCTCCTACACACATCAACATATCTCCACACACATCAACATATCATCCTACACACATCAACATATCTCCTACACACATCACATCATATATCTCCTACACACATCAACATATCTCCTCCTACACACATCAACATATCTCCTACACACATCAACATATCTCCTACACACATCAACATATCTCCTACACACATCAACATATCTCCTACACACATCAACATATCTCCTACACACATCAACATATCTCCACACACACATCAATATATCTACCATCAACATACACATATCTCCTATCACATCAACATATCTCTACACACATCAACATATCTCCACACACATCAACATATCTCCTACACACATCAACATATCTCCTACACACATCAACATATCTCCTACACACATCAACATATCTCCTACACACATCAACATATCTCCTACACACATCCTACACATCAACATATCTCCTACACACATCAACATATCTCCTCCTACACACATCAACATATCCTCACACTACACACATCAACATATCTCCTACACACATCAACATATCTCCTACACACATCAACATATCTCCTACACACATCATCACATATCATATCTCCTACACACATCAACATATCTCCTACACACATCAACATATCTCCTACACACATCAACATATCATATCTCCCACACACATCAACATATCATATACATACACACAACATCAACATATCTCCTCATCAACATACACACATCAACATATCTCCTACACACATCAACATATCTCCTACACACACATCAACATATATCTCCTACACACATCAACATATCTCCTACACACATCAACATATATCTACACACATCAACATATCTCCTACACACATCAACATATCTCCACACACAACATATCACATATCTCAACATATCTCCTACACACATCAACATATCTCCTACACACATCAACATCACACATCAACATATCTACACACACATCAACATATCTCCTACACACACACACACAACATATCTCTACACACATCAACATATCCTACACACATCAACATATCTCCTACACACATCAACATATCTCCCACACACATCAACATATCTCCTACACACACATCAACATATCTCCACACACACATCAACATATCTCCTACACACATCAACATATATCTCCTACACACATCAACATATCTCCCATCACATATCTCCCACACACAACATATCTATCTCCCTGCCACACATCAACATATCTCTCCTACACACATCAACATATCTCCCACACACATCAACATATCTCCTACACACACATCAACATATCTCCTACACACATCAACATATCTCCTACACACATCAACATATCTCCTACACACATCAACATATCTCCTACACACATCAACATATCTCCTACACACATCAACATATCTCCTACACACATCAACATATCTCCTACACACATCAACATATCTCCTACACACATCAACATATCTCCTACACACATCAACATATCTCCTACACACATCAACATATCTCCTACACACATCAACATATCTCCTACACACATCAACATATCTCCTACACACATCAACATATCTCCTACACACATCAACATATCTCCTACACACATCATATCTCCTCCCACACACATCAACATATCTCCTACACACATCAACATATCTCCTACACACATCAACATATCTCCTACACACATCAACATATCTCCTACACACATCAACATATCTCCCACACACATCAACATATCTCTATACACACATCAACATATCTCCTACACACACATCAACATATCTCCTACACACATCAACATATCTCCTACACACATCAACATATCTCCTACACACATATCTCTCCTACACACATCAACATATCTCCTACACACATCAACATATCTCCTACACACATCAACATATCTCCCACACACATCAACATATCTCCTACACACATCAACATATCTCCTACACACACATCAACATATCTTACACACACATCTCCACACACATATCCTACACACATCAACATATCTCCTACACACATCAACATATCTCCTACACACATCAACATATCTCCTACACACATCAACATATCTCCTACACACATCAACATATCTCCTACACACATCAACATATCTCCTACACACATCAACATATCTCCTACACACATCAACATATCTCCTACACACATCAACATATCTCCTACACACACATCAACATATCTCCTACACACATCAACATATCTCCTGCTACACACATCAACATATCTCCTACACACATCAACATATCTCCTATCCGACTGTAATTAACTTACTGATCAAGGTACTATCAGACATCAGTTTCCTGCATCATCTGCGTGTTTGATGGAAACTGAACAAACATAACACGTCTAACCCTTTAACTACAACATGACGTCTTCAAACCAGGGGTTAAGGGGGCTGGTGGCCTCCCCATATTACTTGTCTTGAGATCTTCCAGACAGAGCTTTTGACAACAGTCCTTGGACCACATTATTTCCTTTCCGCCAAGCCTTTCTGCAATGCTAAAGCACTAAGTGAAGCAAGTCTAGATTTCCTCAGGTTCAGGGCCCCGTTTCACGAAGCTATCGTAGCGCTACGATTGTCATAAGTCTATGTTACAGGGCCTTGATTGTCGAAGCTCTCTTAGTGCTAAGATAGTCGTAAGTCCCATACATTAACTATAACTTACGACTATATTAGCGCTATGAGAGTTTCGAAATCCAGGCCCAGTATAGGAGGTGCGAATACTACGAGAGAAGTTACGGGATCTTAGGCTTACGAGAGCTTTGTGAAATGGGACCCAGGTCTGAATCTCCCTCCTCACAGGGGCTCCTTTTCAGTTTAAGAGAATTGTTTGATTCTATCAACGTTATATGTATTCAGAGAAAAGGCGTTAGTCTATAACATTCGATGCACTATACGTTGTTATCTTAGATAAAAACTGACAATTTCAGAACGACTATTCCAAAAAATATACTCAATTAAGAGTGTGTTTGTCTCTTTGAATAATCCGTGTGTAATGAAACAGTATTTCATCTGAGGGCGCCCTGAAATATCTGTTCCAGACAATCCAGTGATTGGTGTTACTCTCAATGACCCACGTGGGCAGGCGATGACCTCCATTAACCATGTCAAAGAGACTGACCAACCTGCGCGCTAAGTCGCCTCGGACGTCCACCCGAAGGCTGCATGGGAGCTACGGTGAGGTGCTTATTGAAGGAGGAGATTATTTGAAGAATTACGGTACACATACACCACACACGTTCCATGCTTTTAAAATGCATCCTGTATTTACCAGGAAATCAATTATTGAATAAAAGGACATTAAATGCCGGAGCTTTCTTTGAAATGCAGACTGTTGGTAGATAATATCAAACATGCCGTTCAGTACGTACTGACAATTCTACAGCACTCTTTTGATAACAGTCGTGATTTGCGGACGGAGAGTCGCATTGAAACATACACCATAGAGGGAGCCACAAAACAAACACAGCCTCTCCGCCATTACTTGGCATTAATTTAGTTCGCGTACGTCAGCCTTGGGAGTTGGAGTTTGTGGATGGGAGGGCAGGGGCGAGTCTGGGATTCACTGGTTTCTGTTTAAAACAAACTCCGAACAAATACATTGACACATAAAATACGTCCTCAGGTTCTACCCCAAAGTATACACTGTAGTGATGGATGTTCCAGAAAATACTAAACTGTCGTTGTTTCCATTCACAGAAAATGTGTATGAAACATTATCTGAAACAAACATGACTCTAACGAAAACACATCTAGGCTAAAAAATGAACATATTTTTTTAAAAAACGATTCCAAAATAATAATAAAAATCATAATGAAAGGCAGTCCAGAGACTTTCGTCATTTTCAGATCTAGACTTGCAACATATTCTAGACTTTCATGGGGTTTCATGGATATATTTGTTTGGGGTCTGTATGACAGACAAGGCGACATAGCAAATGACCTAGACTAACGCTTAGTCCCTGAATATATATAATTTTGATAGTAACAAATAAACCCAGTTAAATTTAAAAGGAGCTCAAGCGGGTTGGGAGAGCCTGAACCTGGGGACATCTAGAATTGCTTCATTTAGGGCTTTAGCACTGCAGGTACTGCTTGGCATTAGGGGAAATAATGTGGTTCAGGGACTGTGGGACATTCTACATTGCAAGGAGGGCTAGGCGGTAGGGGAAATAATGTGGTTCAGGGACTGTGGGACATTCTACATTGCAAGGAGGGCTAGGCGGTAGGGGAAATAATGTGGTTCAGGGACTGTGGGACAGACTACATTGCAGGGAGGGCTAGGCGGTAGGTGAAAGAATGTGGTTCAGGGACTGTGACACTGACTACATTGCAGGGAGGGCTAGGCAGTAGGGGAAATAATGTGGTTCAGGGACTGTGGGACATTCTACATTGCAAGGAGGGCTAGGCGGTAGGGGAAATAATGTGGTTCAGGGACTGTGAGACTGACTACATTGCAGGGAGGGCTAGGCGGTAGGGGAAATAATGTGGTTCAGGGACTGTGAGACAGACTACATTGCAGGGAGGGCTTGGCATTAGGGGAAAGAATGTGGTTCAGGGACTGTGAGACAGACTACATTGCAGGGAGGGCTAGGCGGTAGGGAAAATGATGTGGTTCAGGGACTGTGAGACAGACTACATTGCAGGGAGGGCT